CCCCAAAACCCCAAAACCCCAAAACCCCAAAACCCCAAAACCCCGAATAAAGGTAATAGATTGGCAAAAAGTTAGAAATAAGGTCTTTGAAATCCCACCAGTTTGATTTTAGAATATAACGCAACAGGAACTACTCCCTCTGGCTGTATCCTTAGTTTTTCTCAATTTGTCATTTTCTTTCTGGATCTTTTTGAGCTTCTTCTCTAATTCTTTCATTTTCTTCTCCATATCATCCGGGTTTTTCTTTGTAGAAGTCTCATCTTGAGTACCTCCGTCGTCAAGTTTCATTACTTCTTGGTCTCCTCCTTTTTCTTCATAGAAGGGTTCATCCTCGTTGTTGTCATTGTTGTTCTTAAGCAGGGCAGCTGTCTGAGGCCTAGCTGCAAATCCTTCAACTAGACCCTTCATCTCTTTGTCAGGGAGTTTACCGTAGACAGCTATCATGAAGATCGAGTACTGCAGGTTTTCTGCAACATAGTTACTAATAAACAAATCATGGTTTGCAGTATAGTTAAAATCTGACTTTGAGACGTCAGGCTCCTTGTGAGTTTCAAACTTCTCAGCTGATTCATCTACCCACTGATATGTACAGTAGACCTCGTGAGAATATTTCTCAGGAACATCCTCGATTTTATGAATTTTGAAATCCACATTCAGAGTTTTATTAAGAAGAGAGGATATGCTCTCGTAGTGGTTCAGGTTTAAATTTCCTCCCATATCATCAAAGGCACTAGGAGATAAACTATAAGTCAGATATCCTCTATTTTCACCCTTTGCATTGATAATTGGAGCCTTATCTTGTGAGGTCTCTAGCAGTGAAGCTATAGAGTCACAGAAGATATAGACATTTCCAATAAGTTTATCGTCATTTGATATCGAAAGCCCGAAAATATCAGCTTCTTTTTCGTCTGGCTCAAGTTCTAGTTCAGCGTTTGAATCTCCATGTTCGATATCATACTGCACATTCTCCCATTTTTCTTTGATTCGATACATTTTATCTTCAAATTCATCATAAGACAGAACATTATAGAAGCTTTTCTCAGAATCAGGATACGCCTTTACCACTGCTTTTGGCACTCTTCTTCCATCTGGAAGAATATCTGTTATAATATGGGGCTCATAAGCATAGGTATATCTTCCTAAATTATGGCAAATCTCATTGACCTCATTCAGCTGTGGGATGAGCTTAGTTAATTTCTGCTCAAGATCCTTTTTCTGAACCAACTCCATTTCCTTCTTATGGTCTTCTCTCTTCTTATCCTCCATCTCCTTCAGAGCTTTCTTCTTCTCAGCTTCAAATTGTTTCTCTTTCTCTTTCTGTTCCTTCTTGATCTTCTCAGTCTCCTCTTGCTGCTTCTTGAGCTCCTCCTGGAGCTTAGCTCTTTCTTCACTATCTTTCTGAGATTTATATTCTTCTAGAAGCTTGAGTCTTTGAGCTTCCATTTGTTTGGCAAGTTTCTTCTTTTGTTCGATCATTTTTGCCTTTTCTGCTTTCAGTTTGGCATCTAGTTCTGCTTTCTCTTCCTCCATCTTCCTTCTCATTTTCTCCATTTGTTCTTCAATTTCTCTGTCTGAAGTGCCGTCTGTGAACTGATTGATAGCATCCTTGTTCATGAATTTCATAATAGATTCATAATCAGTCTCATCATCTCCAACTTCCTGGCCAGGGAATATTATTGTGAAGAGGTTGTGGTTACCGAATAGGACCTTATCGCTATGAGCGAGCTGAACTTTACTGTCAACCATCTCTCCGTTGAGAACTGTTTTGTATTTCTGTGGATCTTCATCGTTAGGAATCAAGGAAACAACCCCACTGCCTTTATCATACTGAATTCCACAGTGTTTTTTACCAATACCAGTTCCACCTATTTTAATGTCTACACTACTATCTCTGGTAGCTTTTCCGACTGAATTCTTGCCTTCCTCGAGGATATGCTTTACCTGACCAGTAAGCAGAGGATCTTCGTTAATATTCATGAGATAGCATTTATCGGAGAAGTTATCATTAAAGCTAATAAGATCTTGTCTGGGATCACCATTTTTATCCATCATTTTCTTCAATCGTTCGTTTTCTTCCCTAAGTTCTCTGATCAGCTTGTCGTGAGCGCTTTCGTTAATCTTGGCAACATTTTTAATTGCTTTTACCTGATTAGCATACCTCAAAGTCGATAAGGTCTCATCGTAATTTACAGAAGCAGGAGAAAGAGCAGCAATCATTGATGTTTTAGAGTTTCCTCCAAGAGCGTTCTGAAGGATCCTGGTTAACTGAGATTCTCTGTATGGGACAACAACTTTTCCCTTGGATTTACCAGTAGACTTCTCAGCAAGAACTGTAATACATTTTCCCAGGAAAGATAGAGATTTGTTGATATTAGACCCTTCCTTTAACCTTTCACCAGTGGCTCCTGTTCCGCTCTGTCTCTCACTTCCAGCAAGATCTACGAGGTTGATATCAGATCTTTTCTGGTTGGTCGGTTTGCCATTTTCCATAACTGTCTGCTTAAAAGTGATGGTAGTGACAGTATGAGCTCTACTAGAAGTACTATTCATATTAGTAGAAGCTATTGTACGATTAGATGTTCCTATACTAATCTGTTTTTCTATTTCTTCATATGATTCAACAGGAACCTTTTTCAAACCATCGACAAAAACTTCTCCTTTATTTTCTCTGACTTTGAGGCCAGCTTTCTCTCTTTTATTAGGAGGCTGGAAGAGATCATGAACCTTCTCATTATAGATCTCAATCATAGAAATTGTAACTTGAAATTCAGTAATATTTGAGGGCTTCGCTCTTGCATCTGATATTCTTTCGAATATTTCACGACAAGCTTTCGGTATAATTCCTTCATTCTTTCCATAGCCAACGATTGAATAACTCTTGCCACTACCAGTTTGTCCATATGCAAACAAACAAGTGTGGTATCCCTTCCAGGCGTTGTCAAGTACACCAATTCCTAGGTCATTAAATACCTTATCCTGGTCGGCATAGTTGGATCCTGGTCCATTAGGGGATAATATTCCTTCGGAATCTTCAGTGTAGCCGTCATGACTCCAGTAACTATAATCGAAGTAGAACTTATTTCTCTTTTCCTGAATCTGGGTCAGTAATCTTGGTCATATTATCCTGCATTTCTATGATACATCTCGAGGACATGTTCTTTTCTCTTCCGTTAAATGGGCGGACACGTACAGCCACTTTCACACTAGTCATCTTTATTTAAGTTTATATTTTATTATTCGAATATTTTTGTTCAACAATAATATGCCTCATGGGGTTTTGGGGTTTTGGGGTTTTGGGGTTTTGGGGTTTTGGGGTTTTGGGG